CCCTGTTGTGGGGGGTCCAGGGCTGGATCCAGTTGGGGGCAGGACCCTGGGGAAGGGTCCCAGTCCCAGCTCCGTGGCTTCTTGCCCAGCCCAGCCCAGCGCCATGCCGAGGAAGGGGCTCAAGGGGCCCGCAACGCCAGGCCTGAGCGAGGAGGAGCGGCTTCTGCTCATGCAGCAGAAGCTGCTGGTGGCCGAGGAGCAGAGCAAGAAGAAGGAGGACCTGCTGAGGCAGTTTCTCAAGGTGTGGCTGGGCTTGGCCCCCGGCGGGTGTAGCTGGACCTGGGCAGGGAAGGGGAACCACCAGGCCCTTCCCAGCCCCAGCTCTGCCTATGACCTGTGACCCCCCCTGCTGTGAGCTCCCCCCCCACCACGGGTCCCCTCAGGCCTGGCCAGCCCCAAGCTGTGGGATGTGGGCACGGGTGATCCAGGAGCCAGACAGGCATCACCTTGTGCCCCACCACGCAGGACAAGCTGGCCAAGGAAGAGCACAACAGCACCATCAATGCCAACAGGATCAACATGCAGTGGCGCCAGCTGCTGCGGGAGGCCAAGGCCAAGGAGCTGCGCAGGGACATTGAGATCCTGAGCCAGACCTTTGAGCGTGTGGTGGACTGCAAGGACCACGTCATTCAGGTGAGGGTTTGGTGCGGGGGAGGCATGTGGCATGTTTGTGAGCCCAGTGGTACCCAAAACAAGGCTGGGAGAGCGGACAGTGCTGCCTTCCAGCTGGCTGGGCAGGCTGCACCCAAAGAAGGGGGATCCCGGGAGTTCCCTGCACCCCGCCTCGGCAGCTGCAGGCCTTAGGTAGTGGTGCGGGGGGGCAGTTGAGACAGAGCAGTCGCCAGTGCATGTCTCCCCGACGCGCAGGTGCTGGCCAAGGACCTCTCAGAAGCCGAGGCACAGCACGCCCACGCTCTGCGCAGCCACCTGCACAACATCGACCAGCTGCTGCAGGTGCAGCGCTGCCGCCTGCGGTACCTGGAGGAGGATTACAACACCGAGCTGGAGGCCCTCAAGAAGGAGTTTGAGACAGAGAGGTACTGGGGCAGGGGATGGGGCATCGACCTGGGGCAGAGGGGAGAGGGAGATGGGCAGCCAGTTCAGGAGTGCCCCCGGTGTTCCCCCTAGGACTCCTCCTTCCGGGGTTGACACTGTCAGCTGCAGAGCAGAGCTGGCCCCAGGGCCCTCCCTGCAGCCCTCCCACTGGGGCTTGGCTCTGGGGCTCAGGACCCGCCCTGCCACTCCCCAGGAGGATGATCGTGGAGCAGCACGCGCAGGAGAGCCGCTACCTGGAGGACGTGATGCTGGCCATGGAGCAGAACTTTGGGGAGAGCGACTACGAGGCCAGGCTGGAGTTCCAGAGCACCAGGGACGACATCAAGAACAAGGCAGGGCTCGTGGGGCAGGGGCTCACTGAGATGCCTCCCAGCCCAACCCAGCCAGGAGCTGGCTGCTGATTGGGAAGGGACCTGTCCTGCCTGTGCTCTGGCCAGGCTGGGGTGTCAGCGAGTCTCTATGAGCCGGTCCTTACCCTGGGCAGGACAGAGCACCTCGCTGGACTTGGGGGCTGCCACAGCTCTGTGGGATCAGAGCAGGAGGGGGCCTCTGAGGCCAGGGGGATCACAGGGCAGGCTGGGCGGGGACCCCACTGAGTCGTGTGTGCCCCCAGAACCTGGAGGAGAAGCACTACCTGCGCGTGCAGCTGGAGGGCACTGTGGAGGAGCTGTGGCGGCGCTTCCAGCAGGAGCTGAAGAGCTACACAGAGGCCACTGAGGACCGGAAGGTTGCCTTCACCGCGCTCAAGCAGAAGGATGAGAAAAGCTCTCAGGAGATTGAGGCGCAGATGAGGAAGCTGCAGAAAATTCAGGTCTGCAAAGCCTCTGTCCCCGGTGCCCCTTTGCCACAGCACCCCTCCCTATCCCAGCACCCCCAGCACCAGGGACCCCTGTTCCCCCTAGTGCTCCTCCTCACCCCACCCCTGGTGCCTGAACACCCAATTTCTCCCAGCACCTCTCCCTGCCTCAGCCCCAGGTGCTTCTGTTCTCTGCTCAGTTCCCACCTGCACCCCAGCCTGTCTTATGGGTGCAGATGGGCTCTCCCAGCTCTGTTCCCCAAGCTTCTGAGCACCTCCCCCTCCATTGCCCATCATCACTGACAGCCTACCCCACCCAGGACTCCATCTCTGTCCTGAAGGGCCGGCTGGCGGCACACCTGCGGGACAGTGAGGAGCGGAACCGACGCCTGCGCGAAGAGAAGGAGGTTGTGCTCAAGCAGCTGCAGAAGCTCAAGAGCCAGATGAGCCAGGCCAGGGCCCAGGCCCGCAGCAACCTGGCCAAGCTCACGCTGGACAGCAGTGCCGCGCTCAAGGAGCTGAATCGTGTGGAGAAGAAGGTGAGGGTGGAGGCAACCCTTCCCCAGGACAGGCCTCCCCGTGCCCTGACCCCCTTATCCGCACACAGCACATGGCACAGCCTGGGGGGGCAGGGGCAATACAGCCCAAAATGGAGCAGCTGGTTCTGCCCAAGCCGTCTGGACTCTCCTGGCCCCAGGCAGGCACTCCCCAGTGGTCCCCTGTAGCCACCCCCAGCAGGGAGCTGCAGCCCCAAAACCTGCCCTCATCCCCAGGCTGCACGCATCCTGCGACTGGCTGAGATGTGCCGCAAGCTGGAGACGGAAGAAGAGAAGGTGCTGCCCTTCTACACCTCCCTGCTGAGTGCAACAGAGCAGCAGGAGGCACAGCAGGTCCTCTGGGAGAAGCCCACCGAGCCACTGGCCCAGGTACGGAGCTGGGGGTCTCAGACCCTGAACCCCTCACCCTCTGGCCAGGATGCTATGATGGGTAGGAAGCAAAAGGGGAGTCATATCTGGAACAGGTTCCCAGGGGACTGGCACAGCTGGAGTGAGGGCACTGCCAGTGCAGAGGCTTGTGCTAGCAGCGGGCACTTTGCTGTGTAGGAGAAGCGGGGAGGGGTCCCCTGCCCCTCTCAGCACGGTCCCTCATCTGCAGGCGATGCAGGACTATGCCGGGCTGGAGCGCTTCTGGCAGCGCTACAACAAGGTGCGGCTGGAGCAGCTGGCGCTGGAGCAGGAGCGGGCGGCACTGGACCAGGACAACGAGCGGCTGCACCTGCTGCTCCGGCAGTACCTGACTGGCGTTTCGGTCAGCGAGGAGGCACTGAACCAGCCAAACACACTGCTCATCCTCAACCATTGGAGCAGCAGGAGCAGCGCACTCCCCGCCCCTGCCCCTGCCCCACGGCCCCCACCCTGCATCATCGAGGCTGCCCACATTGCGTCGCACCTCCTGTGAACCACCCATCACCTATGCATGCCAGGGCTTGCAGAGCCAGTGCCACAAGCCAAGGGCAGGGCCCTGGGGATGCTCTCGCACTCACCTATGGAACCCAAGAAGCTGCCATTAAAAGGTTACACCGACGCTCACATCTCAAACCTCGCTGGTGGCTGCATGCGGGGTAGGGCAAGTGCCCACATACTGCTGGGAAAAGCCCCGCCGCAGGCAAGGCCTGGGCTGCCTGCACCTCCCCGGGGTGGCCTGGCGGAAGGACGGGCTGTCGGGTCCCCTGAGGGCCAGGAAGTCCCTGGGGCAGGTCCCACCCACCCCAGGCCTGAGAGAGCAGCCAGGAGCTGGCGCCGACAGGGGCAGGTTTATTTCTTTTTGGCCTTGTTCCTCTTCTCCTCCTTGAGCTTCTTCTTGGAGACGCGGGGGCTGGTGGCCTTGCGGTACAGGTGGAAGCCCACCAGCCCCAGCAGCAAGGGCACCAGCCCCACGCACAGCGGGGGCAGCAGGTCGCTCACTAGCCTCTGCCAGTAGCCAGCCCGGGACAGGCCGAGGAGCTCCACCTCAAACTGCAGCACCGCGTCCGCTGGGGGGAGAGGTGGCCTCAGCCTCTGCGAGGGCCATGGTCTTGTGGCCCTGCAGCTGGTAGCCTTAGGCCAGGCTGCCCATGCTCCCCCTGCCTAAATAAGGGCCTGTGGTGGGGGCATGTAGAGCCCCCCTGCTCCTGGGCATGGGGACGCTTCCTGGAGGGCACCGCAGAGCCCTTTGGCCCAGGCAGAGCCCAGCTCAGGCACCCAGGCCAGGCTCACGGGACAGGGGGTTACCTGGGATGGCAGGGGGTGATCCTCGCTTGCCGTAAGCCAGGTTGGGGGGGATAATCACCCTCCGCTTCTCCCTTCCCGCCAGAGAAAAGCTCGATCAGGGCCAGGATCCTGGTAACCCGCAGTGCCCGGAGGGCACCTGGACACAGCAGGTCTTGGCCCCGCTGCCTCTCCTGCCCCACTGCAGCCCCTGGGCCCACCAGGCACCACTTACCCCACGCACATGCCCAGCAAACCCTGCTCCAGGCCTGGGGGTGGGAAGTGGGAAGAGAGGTGGATCAAGGGGGTCCCAAAGACTGTCCCAGAGGAGGCAGTTGCTCTGGGGTTGCTCCCCTCTCCACCCCGCATCCCTGGGGGTCTGCAGATCATCGGCCCTGGGGAGGGGGCATCTGCAGGGGGATCCGAAGCAGCCTGGGATGCCCCCAATCATGGCACCTACCAGGGATCACCTGTCGCTTGCCCAACTCCAGCTGCAGCGGGTCCCGGGCCAGCGAGGTGTCCACCACTCGCCCGTCCTCCAGGCTGCCCTGCGGGGCAGGGGGATGCGTGGGTGACCCTGCAGACCAGGCCCCCGCGGCCCCCCGGCCAGAGCTGTCCCTCGTGGGCCCGTCCCTCCCCCCAGGGCCGGGCACACGTGCGGCGGCGGCAGCAGCGGCGGCAGTGCTGACGTGTCCCCCCCACGCACCGTGTAGTGGATCTGCAGCGTGTCCCCCGG